TTTTTATATTTTATCACTTTGTCGTCAGATGCTTATATGTTAAACATAAATGTTATATTTTTACGTCAGGATTTAAGTTGAACGTAAATTACATCCCCTACTTATATAATGAAATGTTTAAATATTCAACGTACAAAATCTCTTTTCTAATAATAATGAATAACAAATACTCAGAAACAGTGAATTAAATAAAATAACTATTTTGTAGATGTCGAAAAGGTTTTTCTTCCTTTTTTATATTTCTATAGAAACTCTTAAAATATTGTATATTTAACGTGTAATCTAAGTAACATTTGTCTTTTGTATTGTCTTCTAAGACATAAAACTTAAAACCTAGAGTGAACAATTTCTGTTTTCAAACCTTTGTAAACATCTTACACAATGTTGTAAGCTAAAAGTGTGATTAAAGGAAATATATGGTGTAAAAGGTTAACTTGTTAAAAAAGACTCGTGGTATAGTTTAAGAAAAAAAACTAATACAACTAACATTCGTGTAGTAGCCATGAGTGACAGTAGAATAATAATGATATTATAATTTTTAGTAAATATTGATAAATCAATCAAGAAAACAAACTCTTAATTCAAGCCCAACTAAAACAAATTTATTTTTCTCTCTCATATTAATCTTAATAGCTAACATTGAATTGATTTTAAATTTTGTTTAGATACCATTATTTTCATAGTTTTAGTGTAATAATTTTGATTACTTGTTCATTAGTCAAAATTTAAGTATAATACAGACAATATATACATGTGTTTCCCCCAAAAAAAAGTTTAAAAAAATCTATTCAAAATATAATTTAACCCTGTTTTTATATTGTGTAATTTACATACTTATGAGAAAAACATTCTCAAACTCTAAATAATTAACATAATTTAGTAAACTAAATACCTAGTTAATAAGTTTTTAACTTTGTTAGTACTATATTCTAATAGTTTCACGTTATTTTAAGAGTCCAAATCAAATATTGTTAAAATACTCTTTATATTATCTAAAACGTTTTTTTACGAATAAAATTGAGACAAAAATTTATCTTTCAAAAGTGAACAACACTTTAAATATATAATGATTAACTTAACGATAGCATTTGACAAATTTGAAATTGAAATATTGATACCTACAATGTGTCATTTGATCTCTTAAATTCTTTCATTGATATAACTAATCATTCTCCGTCATTGTCTTCTCTTTTATAAATACAAATATAAACAAAGTCACTTACATTAAATGAATTGAATTTAATAATTTGGAAAGTGGAAGGTTTTAATAATTTTTGTCTTTGAATTTTAATATTCAAATATGACTTATCAAATTTGACTATGACGTGACTTCATTTATTTCATTTTTTATATTGACTTTGGTTATGTGAACTATGACTAATTTGTGGTTCAACCAAACCTTTCCACTGAAACTTAACAGATTTGCATTGATTGTATAGATATCGTAAAATCAATATTCATCAATAATTAATTGAAAAGAGAAAGTAGCTACGTCTTATGCAAAACAAAATTAAAGTTGCATTCAATGTTAATATATGTTATGATCTCAATAGAAAGCGACTTTTAGATATGAAGAAAATGAATAAATATGTTGGGGGAGAGGGTGAAGTAATTCCATACATTTAAACAATGATGTGTGAAGAAAAAATCCTTGAAAATGAAAATAAAAAGTATAATAATCAAGTTAAAAGTAAAAAAAAAAAGAGAATTTTTCTGCATTACTTGACAAGTTTAAATACCAGCAGATGAAAATAAAATAGGTGAATGACAAGTGTACGAAAAATGAGATAAAAGAATTGTTTGGTTGAAAGAAGATAAAAAGAAATGACATGAGAAAAGAAGAAGAAAGTACAAGAAATAGATGATAAAAACAAGGTTTAATAGGTTCGGAGGTCTTTATATTTGTGGGTTCGTTTCAATTGGGTCCTCCAATTTTGAAAGTGATCAATTTGGTCCCTAATTTAACAAAATTGAGTCAATAATACCCTTTTCGTTAAATGTAATGGACGGCGTTAACTTTTTAAATATGTAGCATGTTGAGGCATCTTTTTATTTGCAGGTTACACAGTTTTATTTGAAGGATGTTTCAACATACCACATCTTTAAAACGTTAATGCCGTCCATTGCATTTAACGGAAAGGATATTATTGACTCAATTTTGTTAAATTAGAGATCAAATTGATCACTTTCAAAATTGGAGGATCCAATTGAAACGAACCCACAAATATAAGGACCTCCGAAACTATTAAACCTAAAAACAATAGAAAAATGTTAGCGTGATTAGCCTTTTACTTATTTATATTTTTCTTATGTACAGGTTTAATATAATATAATTAAGCTTCAAAGCGTAGGAATATACTCAAAGGGAAAAAGGCAAATGATGAAATTGTGCCCACTAAAGCATAGGAGCAAAATAAAATAAACATATTTTTTAATTGATAAATTGTACCCAAAAGAAAAAATAAAAAAGTGAAAAAGTAGTTGGAATTTTCTTAAACATCGTGTCAAAAGAAAATAGATTAATAAAAAATTATATTAGTCTCATTCAGTTGGAGAAACACGCAACGCGTGAGAACGAGACCACCTGTCCTCCACATGCATTACTGTTAGTGTTTCGACAAAATAAACAAATAATACTAATATTTATTATTACTATTTATTAATTTATTATCTTTCTGGTTTCACCACTTATTCATTGGTGTCCCCACATGCACGTGTAGTGTAGGATAGTATTCCAATAACAAGACTTTTCAATTGTAAATACCAATTCATGATACACTAAACACTCTCAAGATTTTCTTTCTTCATTTAAATTTTGCTCAAATTATAAAAGGCACCACTAATAAAAAATATATAAACTTATATCTAACTCAACTTTATAGAATTTAAAACTTTATAAATAAAAACTGCATTTTTTATTATAAATGGACTCTATTTCAATCATCTTGTATAAGATGTTGTGTGTTTTAAAATTTATTATGTATGATTTTGTTTTTAATAAATATTTTAAAAATGAAAAGAAAAAGAATTTAAACTTGTTTTAAATTTCTAAAATAAAAATAAAAATATTTTTCTTTTAAATTTTATTAATTTATTTAACTAAATTTTGTTAAATTTATTTAATATTTAAACGTGTTTCAATTAATATTAATTAAAAATGTGTTAAATAATTTAAATGATTCAAATATATTTATTAATTTAAAATGATAAATAAATTTAAAAAATTTAATTAAAAAAAATAAATCAACATATTTATAAAATTAAAAATTAAATTAAACCATAATTAAAGAGATATTTATAATATTCACTAAAAATTAAAATTAAAAATATATTTAATCCTAAAAACTATTACTAAGTGTGTGAAAAAAAAGATCACGACTATTTATACAGCACTGATTTGTTTTAGGGAAGCTTCGGGATTAGCAATTTATTTCACCAAAGGGGACTATTGGCTTCCATTGGAGGAACTTTTTTGGCCATATGAGAAACTTCAGTGACAAGTTAAAATAGGTTGATGTTACAACTCTACATTGGAAACGACTTTTACCAATCAAATTCAAACATGTACTGAATCAACGGTTCATATTTTGTCTGGTGACCACACCAAATACAGGATCAAGGGAATCTAACACATGGTTTTTTGATCGTTACTTTCATAATTTGTATTGGTACATTTGATTTATTTAATTTTAATTTTGGATTAAAACCAATTTCATTTACTATTTCACTTTAAGACAAAAATAGTACAGAATTTATAGTTTTTGTTTAACGTAAAATTGATCTAAAATAATTTTAAACACAACGTAAGAGCCAAATCCTCGAATTGCTCTAATTTTGGTAGAAAAAAAATATACATGTGATATTTCCAAAACAAATTTAAACGGAATAAATTAATATATTTATATAAAAGAAAACAATGTATATATTTTTAGCGTAAAAGATATTTACACAATCATATATATAATCACATGCTAAATACTTAACTTTAAAATTATATTACCAATACTTTTTAACTAACTGGCAACGTATAATTTTTCCTTATTGTTATTTATTCACATGAATAATTTTTTTAGTTTTATAAGAAGGATTTTTAAAATGATTTATAGTTTAATGACAGTGTACTTTCTTACATTTATCTCTAATAGGTCAAAAATAATTTCAGTTAAACTACATTCCTTTGACCAGAAGTTTTTTATACCAATTTTTTAATACTCACTTAAATTTGATTTAAGACAAAACAAAAAACTAAAGCACAAAACACTATATATACATAGAAGTATAATTCATAAAAAATCAGCATGTTTATAGAAGTTAAGCACGTATTAAGAGATTTCAACCATAAATACACACTTTTCAATAAAGTAAAGCAGACTTTTAGTATGTTTCAGTAATGGTATGTTCTGCATCCAAATTATTTTAAATGGTTTTCATTTTTTATGTTAAATAATGGATAAATAAAGTTTTATATTTCAATCAACTCAGCCATTTAGGAAAATGAACTATTGGTCTTTTTATTAAATTAAAAATTTATTTAGAAATAAATTTCAACATGATTTAGTTTATAAATTGGGGGTATTATGGAAATTAAGAGAAAAAGACAGGGCAGATGGGTAGTTAGGTGCAATCATTCAGAAAAAACTGGCGTGAGTGTTTATCAGAGGTCAGAATCCAGCTCTTACATAAACGTAGCTTGGACTCGTACAGACTTTTTCTTCTCTTCCCGCACCTAAAGCAGCTTCCACTGTAAATTTAGCCTCTCATTTATTATTATTATTATTATTATTTATTATTAACCAAACAAAAGCAAGAAAGTAAAAGCAAAAGATGCCACAGAGACACCATCTTCTGACTTAGACCACCGAGTGTTACCATAATTCAACCCTCAAAGATTCACTCTCCTACACTTTTTCTTCTTCACTCTTCTAGCTTCACGGTTAGTTCACTCCATTTTCACTACATCACTCTCACTTCTTCACCTCTTTTGCGATTTTCTATTATTATTATTATTATTTATTATTAACCAAACAAAAGCAAGAAAGTAAAAGCAAAAGATGCCACAGAGACACCATCTTCTGACTTAGACCACCGAGTGTTACCATAATTCAACCCTCAAAGATTCACTCTCCTACACTTTTTCTTCTTCACTCTTCTAGCTTCACGGTTAGTTCACTCCATTTTCACTACATCACTCTCACTTCTTCACCTCTTTTGCGATTTTCCTTTTTCCATTCCCGATTCTTTCATCTCTGCCTTTTTTTTCTTTTTAATTTCTGCATCTTTCTTGATTACTGATTAATTAATAGGTTTCAAAATAGGTTTTATTATGCCTTTTTCCTTTATAGTTAATTCGGATAGCATTGCATGAGTTGTGTTGTTAAAGATTGTGTTTCTGTTAACGGATTCGTCATCGAGTTTCGCTACTGGAGTTGAATTTCATTGCGGTACGGTTTTTTTACACTGATTCTAAGCGGTTTAGATGACTGTGGATGTGTTGTGCGTGATTCTTTGGAATTTTGAGGTTCGGGAGTAATGGAAAGTGAGTTAAGAAAATATTATGGCGTTGAGGTATGACACGCTAGGTTGTCAGGACATGCATGCTTGTGTTGTGTAGCATAAGGCTTTGGAATATGTTGCTGATGATGTTCACTTTTATATTCCTCTACAAATAATCTGCCATATCAGATGTTAATAAATTGAAGAGTGTTTTATAAAAGAAATCTATAGTGTGTTTTAATCTTAATTAATGCTGAAGAATGATGGTGTTGATCACACATGGAACCAATTTTTTTAAGGGGACAGTCTGAAGTAATTAACTGCACATATCTGTGTTGTGATGAAGATAATATTATGCTGGTTTTTGTGGAAAAAATAAGGTTGGTGATAGGTTTAAGATACGCGACAGACTGACAGTATGAATTATGATTAGATTTAGATATTTGGTTCTTGTGTTGTAGATTTTAGTTGATAAAGGCCATTTTTGCGATCAAAACCTTGCAGCAATGTGATCCTTTTATTTTAGGTTTTCAAGAATTGATAATGGATACAATAGTTAAATTGGATTTTAGTCACTCTAGCATTATGATTTGTTGTTTACTGTTTTACATATACTACTATATTACCCTTCTCACATTTTATTCATCTTAGGGTAACTATCAAATTGACGAGTGTTCCCCCTCTTACTCTCTCTGTGTGCATTGTTTTCCTTTATTTTGGAATCAATGTTTTCTTGTTTATAATTTTTACGTATATTACAATATATTTTAGATATACAAATTTAATGAAAACTTGTAGAGGAGGGATTTTGTTTATTGAACACATTAGATTGAGTCACTTATACTCTTACAATTTACAAGGCTGGAGTAGAGTAATATCCTTTCTCAATTTTCATGTGTTATTTGTTTCATGGTTTGCTTGCAAATTTCTTAATCAGAAAAGTTTGCTGTGAATTTTATGAAGTAGGATATAATTTACTTTGTGAACATTAAGAATTTAACTTGAACTTCTACTAGCTTCACATCCCAATTTATCTGTTACATGATACATATCTTCTACACAAAGTCCTTAATGAGCGAAAACATATAAGCTAAGGTACTCTAACCTTCTTATTTTTTCTTATTTTTGATATTTCTTTTGTATTTAGTTGCAGAATAAATGTATAAGAGTGATTTCCTTCAGGACCAATCCCTATGGAGGTAGCTTTCTTAATTAAATTCCTTGGTATTTTTCACTGAGCTGGTTGAGACTTCACATTTATTCTGATTTCTACTGATGAATACTTGGCATAGGTGGTAATGCATTGGAATCTCTGGTGCTGCATTCTTTTGGGATATCTTCATATATATTGTATTTCTCTTAGTTCAGGACATCACCTGAATAAGAGTATTGGCTTAGAGAGGTGGTTGGGTTATTCTGGGTCACTTGTGCGAGACGATTCTCAACTCCATGATTCTGCATTTGGTGACACATCAACTTTGTCATCACCATTGAATGTCTTAGTCTCTTGTGAGGACTTGGAAGGTGTAGGATCTTTTAATACCACGTGCTTGCTAAGCTCAACTCATTATTTAAAATCTGATATTAACATTTATGGCGTTGGAAACCTGGAGCTACTTTCTGATGTGTCGCTTTTATGCCCTGTGGAAGGGTGCATGATATCAGTAAATGTGTCTGGCAACATTAAACTTGGTCAAAATGCATCCATTGTTGCTGGTTCTGTGGTTTTATCTTCAGCCAATCTGACTATGGAATGCAATTCTTATCTAGACTCATCATCTTTAGGTGGGTCACCACCTTCCCAAACTAGTGGAACTCCTGTTGGCAGTGACGGAGCTGGTGGAGGGCATGGTGGGCGTGGTGCATCTTGTTTAAAAAATAATAAGACAAACTGGGGTGGTGATGTTTATGCTTGGTCTACATTGTCTGAACCATGGAGTTACGGGAGCAAGGGTGGTGGGAAATCTCATATAAAGCAATATGGAGGGAATGGTGGAGGACGTGTTAAGCTTCTAGTGAAGGACACTTTATATGTAAATGGATCTATTACTGCAGAAGGAGGAGATGGGGGGTCTGATGGTGGAGGTGGCTCTGGTGGAAGTATATGGGTTCATGCTGTGAAGCTGTGAGTATGATCTGCTTGTTAGTCTATGAACTTATACCTGTTTTTTCATTTCACGACTTCTAAATGACTGTTTAGGGGGCCATAGCTATTATTTGAAGAGAGAAATGCTGTTTATTTTTGGCATTTAAGTCACTTCTACGAACAGTTACAACATCATAGCTAATAGTTTTTCACATGTAAATGGTTTTCGAAGTTTAGATGATGAGAAAATAGCAAATGTTGGTAATATTTTTTAATGATATTGATGGCAGAGAATTGTAGCTTTTGTTGATGATGGCGTAGTGCTTAATATTCTATTTAGATGGATCTGCCTTGGCATTTGGTATGGTCAATTACAATTGCAGAGGTAGTAATCTTTTTCTTTCAAAGAATGTGGATGTTTTTTGGAAATGTCTTGTTCTTGTTGAAGGTTTGAGTTGTTTCCAGTTCTTAAAAGTGCCATATCTGTATTGAAGGTTTTGTAGGGAACTACTACATGTTATATAGTGAATTGTGCTAGTAACTTTTCTTTTCAACTTTATTTTTGGTGGAGTGTAGGAAAGGGTATGGTACCGTTAGTGCTGCAGGTGGGAGAGGATGGGGTGGAGGGGGTGGAGGAAGAATATCACTGGATTGTTACAGTATACAAGAAGATTTAAATGTTACGGTTCATGGTTAGTTCTATTTCTCACCTGTACATGACATGTTAATTATACCAATGATGACTGCTGCTTAATCTTTTATTATATTGTAAGGGTGTTAAGGTTAGGCTATGTAAATCAAAATACCATTAATTATAATCTTTTTTTGAACAAATAAAGGTTTTCAGTTTCAGTTTTCTATGCAAACATAAGCAAACCTTTCTTGTTTTTGTTATTGCTTTAAAAGATGGTGTCCAGAACCTATTCAACTAGGAAACCTCCTAACTCGTCAGATTTACTATGGAATTATGAAGATTTTGGAAGATTGTTCCCCTGATTTTGATTCTGGAATCTATCCGTCATTATTCCTGATTAGAGGCACAGAGTTTAAATTTTTTGGTGGTGCTGAGAATAAGCATTTGATAATTTATGTTCTTTTAATAAAGTATTTTTGGTTGACATCATTGTATCTTCAATTTTTTCAACTCAAGTAACCTGCAAGGGTGCTGTTTTTCTTCATCTGGATAACAAGAAGGAGCTTATACACAATACATGCAATTGTTGTGACAGGAGGTTTGAGCATTGGCTGTCCTGGGAATTCCGGAGCAGCTGGAACATATTTCAATGCACATTTACTGAGTTTGAAAGTTAGCAATGATAATGTCACAACAGAAACTGAGACTCCTTTGCTTGACTTCTCAACCAGCCCTTTATGGTCAAATGTTTATGTGGAAAATAATGCAAAAGTTTTGGTTCCACTTGTGTGGTCCAGAGTCCAGGTAGCGAATTACACTCTTTACGTACTATACCAACAAACAATCATGATCACGGAGTCACCATTTCATTATTTTTTTAATATTTCTCGTGCCTTAGAGAATTCTTTATATGATAGAGTGCTTAAGCTCATGAGAGTTCTGATCTGCTAAAGCATTTTGTAGCAATAGTTTTATTGCTCAAATTATGAAGAAAAATATTGCCTGAATTTTTTTTCTTGTAATGTTACATTTTCTTTTGTCTTTGAAAACAATTTCATTGATATATAATTTTCTTTACTAATCATTGCTATGTTTAACCATTGGAGCCAAATGGTTGATTTCTGTTAAAATTCTCTAATTATGAAGGTCAGAGGCCAAATTAGTGTATACAGTGGAGGAAGCTTAATCTTTGGGCTGTCTGATTATCCAATTTCTGAGTTTGAGCTTGTTGCAGAAGAGCTTTTATTGAGTGATTCTATCATAAAGGTATGTTTTGTGATTTAGCTTTTTTTTCTGTTATAACTTTAGTTCCATTATCAATTCATATAGGTGTCACTTATTTTGAACTACTATTTCTAAGTTGTAGTATCAACTATTAATTTGACAATTTTGTCTTTAATATATGAAGGTTTTTGGTGCATTTAGAGTTTCTGTTAAAATGTTACTCATGTGGAACTCCACAATGCAAATTGATGGTGGTGAGACTACCGTTGTGACTGCTTCAGTGCTTGAAGTGAGAAATCTTGCTGTTTTAAGGGTATAATACTCTATTATTTATTTGAAGTTATGCACAATTCTTGGTTATATAACCATGTTTTGTTCCTGGTGGTTTGGAACTTCCATTATCATACTAGTTTTTTGCCTTCACAGCAAAATTCTGTCATCAGTTCAAATACAAACTTGGCTTTATATGGTCAAGGACTACTGCAATTGACTGGTGAAGGCGATGCTATCAAAGGCGAGCGATTATCCTTGTCTCTGTTCTATAATGTAACTGTAAGCAATTATCTTTACAAGGACTTATGTAGTTTTTATACCTTTTGAAGTTGTTATAAGAGATTTAAATATTTCTAGAGTTCTCCCTTTACCAAGGGATAATAATATCAAAAGTTGATTGAAGTGTTATTAGTGGAAGAAAATATGCGGATG